AGCCACACTCGCCAAAGGTAGGATGGCGCAAGGTCCTCTCCCCTCACCCACTGAAGGGGCCCACAAGCACACACGAACGAAGACGCGCACAAACCCCAGGATCCCTCCCGTATTTTCACGCGTTGTCTGGGCTTCTGTCTCCCCCCCCACCCCCCCACTTCCCCTATTCCCGCACGTTTGTCCGAAAATCGACGATTCCTGGTGTCTTGGAGGGGGATCCAGGGAGGGACGACCCCCCCCCACCGAGGCCCAGGGAGCCCCCGCCCCGCCGAGGCAGGCGCGGGACCACCGCGGGCGCGGCTAGGGGGGCCACCCAGGGACCCTGCTGCGGCTTAAGCACAAGTTCTTGGCGCGCGCGGTCCTGCTGCGAGGTTGAATGTATCGGGAGCGGCCAAAGAAGGGGGTGTCCAAGAGGGGGGGTTGCAAATCATGACCGGCGGCATGTCCGCGGCCCAGCGGGGGGGCCAGGGACGGAATGAAATCAGAAGAGGCGCCTCGAAATCTGGGGAAATATCATGGCCCACGCCATGATATCCGCCCCCCCCTAGTCATCACCCCCCTCTTTGCCGCCCCCGAATGTAGGGTGGCGCGCAGCGTCAATTATTCTAGACCGGGCGGGCTGCAAGGAGGGCTTCCCAGCATTTGCCGATGGGTGAATGGGGGGAGGCCTATGGAAGCCTATGAGGATCCCCACCGGCTAACAAAAAAAGTTTGCGCCATCCTGCGGCGGCGGCCGCAAGTCGGCGGCGAGCGAGGGGGGGAACTGAGAAGGAGAAGGCCTTCTCAGAAGGCGGCGGGACTTCTCAGAAGCCCTCGCGCCTTCTGAGAAATCTCGTCTGTCTTCAGGGAAGGCTTAGCAAAACTTCTCAGAAGGCCGGGGAACTTCCGAGCCTTCTGAGAAGGCTGGCCCCTTCTCACTTCCCCCCCTCGCTCGCCGCCGAGCGAGGCACTCCTCAACCTTATCGATTCGGTGTTTCTTCTCGGATCTCTGGGGGTACAGTGTTCGGCCTGACCTATCCAACCTACTTTAGCCTTGATCGCTAGACAGAATTTCGAGCATCAAAAAAGTAGCGGAACTCGAGGATTGGCACGTGTCGGGCCCTGGGCGACACTCGCCCGACACTGTTTCGACACTCTTTCGACATTTTTCTGGGTGCTCGAAACTATTTCTGAGATGTGGTCCTTGAGTACGATGGGAGCAACATAACCTAAGGAACGATAAGTAAGGAACGAAGCTCCACTTCTTTCCGAGTAAATCCAGGAACTCCGGGGGCTCGCCGCCGAGAAGGCAGCGGAACGCATGCAGATCAAAAGAACGACGGATGCCACTCTTGAAAAGTGAGTGCTCCTTATTCAAGCCGGACCTTCTAGCATTAGGCCGGGCACGTCCCCCCTACAGGAGGATCTTGGGCGAAAGCTTAAACATACCCTAAAAATACCCCCCAAATGCTCAAAAATGGTCAACAAATCGTCCCCAGACTATCTTTCGACTAACTTCTTGGATATTCCCCCTGTAGAGGGACAGGCCCGACGTAACTGTAGTTCCAGGGGTACTTTTTCTCGGGTCTCTGGGGGTAGTTTTAAGTCGGGCCCGTCCCTCTACAGGAGGAACATTCAAAATTGGTCTCAAAATAGTCTGGGCGCTGTGTTTTGCATATCTTCGTTGACCATGTTGGAATTTGTTTGAAATCATATTTTATCTTTCGTCGAAAATCCCCCTGTAGGGTTATGTTGTTCCGGTCCTACTTAAAGACCACATCCCAGAAACTATTTCGAGCACCCAGAAAAGTGTCGAAAGAGTGTCGAAAGAGTGTCGGGCGAGTGTCTCCCAGGGCCCGACGCGTGAAAACCCTCGAGTTTGGCCGTACTTCTTCGGGCGCTCGAACTTCTTCCTGGCGGTCAAGGCTAAAGTAGGTCGGAGCATCATGACTGTACGGCAGGTCCGTAGGGGGACACGCCCGACTTGAGGGCAGCTCCACCGAGCGACGCCCCGACGGCAACGCGCAGGGCGTCTGCTGCCCAGGCGCCCCGCCCTGCGCCCCGCGGAGGAGGAGGAGGAGGAGGAGGAGGAGGAGGAGGAGGAGGAGGAGGAGGGGAAGGAGGAGGAGCAGGAGGAGGAGGAGGAGGAGGAGGAGGAGGAGGGGGAGGAGGGGGGGAGGAGGGCGCGCAGACCGTGTCTCCGCGGCAGAAAGACCTGAAACACCGCCCATGATCCCACCCCGCACCCCGATACCCCCATCGTTGAGTGGCAACGGTGAAGCAGTGTGGCTGGCCGCGGCCGCTTTACCTATGCCAGCGGTGCTGGCGGCATTCTCTCTGACTAACATCGCGGCGGTTCGTTGGACGAACGCAAGTGGGAGATATTACAGACAGTCCGATAAGGTTGGTGCGATCTGTGGAAGCGCTGGCACGTCCGGCACGTCCGCGCCCCCCCGCGGGCGGCAACGAAGAGGGCCTCGCTCACCCGAGTTCGCCGGGTCCGTCGACACGTCGGCTCAAG